CTCTCTCTCTCTCTCTCTCTCTCTCTCTCTCTCTCTCTCTCTCTCTCTCTCTCTCTCTCTCTCTCTCGCGCGCGCGCGCGCGCGCGCGCGCGTGCACGTGAGCACATTATAACCATGGTCGCATATGGAACTGATCGGAGCAGATACTACACTTGATTGTGTGGGTAGGGGGGCGTATGTAGTCAGTTTGGGCTCTCTCTCTCTCTCTCTCTGTGGTCGTGGAGGACACGCAACGGAGCAGAGGAAGGAGGGGGGGGGAGAAGCGGGGCAAGAGCAGGGGAGGAAGGGTGGAGGAGGGGCGGAAGGGCAAAGTCTCCCGTGCGAATGAGCGCTGGTGTTTTTTTTTTTCAAATAAGAAAGGTGCAAGGAATATGAGTGTGAGCGATATACATAAAACCAAGTTGTGAAATCACACAGCTGAGCAAGTAGTAGTATCCCAAGTAGAGAGTACAAATGCACCGAGAAAACCATCAATAAAGAGCAATACAATGAAGTATTCATTGTATTGAGCCAATGTCCAAGCCCGTACGCCACACCAACACAGTATCCAGAGTTGCTCTCTCTGTCTGGCGCACAGCGCCCAGCCTACTCTACCATACTATCCTACTCTACAGCTGGTTCACACAACAGGATCACTTCGGCTCACGAAGACCAATGTACATGATTGTCCACACCATCGACAACCTCTCTTCATGTACCAGGTACGTATCTCGTCACCCTCAATCAAACCTTGATTACCCCACACAGCGCCTCACTCCCTGAAGACCACCCGATCATCCGCTGTACTCCCTGGTGCCTAGCAGCCCGACTATGGCCGCCTGCGCCCCGCTGCCCTGCAGCGCCCCTCCTCACCTCTCGCGCCCCGTCAGCGCCCTTGGCAGCAGCGCAGCATCAAGCGAGAGCGCAACAGCACTTCCACATTGCCAGCGCTGGCCAGGATGCCTGGCATCGGCTGCCTCACTTCCTTTATGGAAGTGGCAGCCTGCTGCATGCTACGTGTGGCCTGGCTGGAAGCTTCCAGTAGCTTCCGGTTGGGCCTCAGACCCTGTGCCCAGACCGAGACTTACAGTTGAGGGCCTGGGCCCTTTACAGTTGGGCGCGGCCTGGGTCTCGGCTGTTAGCTGCATCTGCGCAGAGCCCCCAGGTAGGTGCGTCGGCTGTTCTGCTTTTCCAGAGGCCAACGGCCTGCTTCTCAATGTATCGGCCCTGCTTTGTGTGTAGGTGCCCAGGCACAACTTTCATGGCCTGGGCCAACTGTACGGCGCAGCTTAGTGAGGCTCGCGCGTTCACTCAACCAACTGACGCGCTGCAAGAGCCTGAATACCCACGTATGGAAATGTGGAATTTGGCCTGTGACGAATATTCAGGCCCGCCTTCACTTAGGGCGGGCACTTGGCTTGCTGCGGTCTTGGCCCAGAACAATGTCTGATAGGGCCACTTGAGGGCTTGTTCCTCACATTCCATCCCCCTTAGCTTTGAAAGTCCGTTGAGATGCTTCATGCTGGTGCCTTCCCCTTCAATCTTTTCTCATAATCAGCCACCATCTGAGGAGCTGTCTTGACAAGTTCCTCCCTTGAAATCCATCGATCTTCCTTCGGGTCTGTATGATGCCTGAAATGTACTCTGAATTCCCTCGCAGGTTTGGGAGGTCTTCCCCTGCCAGGTGGCTTAGGAACAAGCGTATCTCTGTGATCCAGGATGTCGTCGACGTCCACTTGGCCATCCATGGTTGGGGGCAGCATAGATCTCCGTGATGGGAACTGTGCTGTCTCAGCGAAAGGTGCAAGCTTGGAGGCGTGAAACACAGGGTAAGTGCGTAAGTGACCACGGATACGAATGACGTATGGACCATCCATATCATTCCCGACAATGTCCAGGACTTCCCAGGGACCGAAATACTGCGGCATTAGTTTTCTAGAGATGCCAAACTCCTGTCCCAACTCACTAGCCTTGACCCAGACGCGTTCCCCTACCTGAAATGTGGACTGTCGGCGACGCTTGTTCTCAAAAGCAATCATGACTTCCTGAGATTTCTTGATATGTTCGACAGTCTGCTGCAGCAGTTCCTCATACTGGACACAAATTCAATGGTTCCAGGCGTTGCAGCAGTTCGGTTTTCATGCAGGAGGAAGTCTAGAGCAGATCTAGGCTTCCATCCCAGATGTAGTTGATTAGGACTGACACCGATGGTGTTGTGTACAGCGTTGTTGTACAGACTCGCGATGAGAGGTAACTTTTCATCCCAGTCATCCAGGTTGGGCTTGATGTAATGCCTCAACAGATGCTGCACCACTCGGTTCATCGGTTCAGCCTGCCCATTTGCTTCGGGCTGATTCCCAGAAGTCATATGAAGCTGGCTGCCCATCTGTTCAGCGGCCTTCTTCCACATCTCGCTTGTGAATCTCACATCTCTATCACTAACGATAGTCTTTGGAAGTCCAAAGTCACACACCCAGTTGTCCATGAACAACTTGATGACGTGCTCAGTCCTAGCAGTTTCTGGCATGGCGATTAGTCTAGCGTACTTAGTGAACCTATCTACTATGACGAAGATGTGCCTTCTTGCCATTCTTGCTGGTCACGAGAGTGTCCATGAAGTCCATGGAGATACTCTGACCCGGGCCAGCAGGAATGGGTAAGGCTCGAGTAACCCAAGCGGAGCTTGAGTCCGCGGCTTGTCCCGCTGACAGACATGACACGTCTCCACATACTTCTTCACATCATCAAGCATGTTAGGCCACAAGAATCGCGTACTAAATTAGCACTAGTCTTCTTATAGCCGAAATGTCCCATTGCGTCGTGGCACTCACCTAAAAATAAACTACGCAAAGTTTCTCTAGATGGAACAACTAACCTCTTTAACCCTGCCTTCTTAAGAAAGAGTAACCCATCCACCATCACAAACTCATCAGTAGTGACCTTGTCCTTAGCCTGAAGTTTTGATGATGTTCATCGTGATGGGATCTTCCTTGTAGGCTTCATCCAACGATCGAGTTACATCTTCAGATAGACCAAACTCAGAAATCAGTGCACCTAGGTAATCTGCCCTCCTAGACAACGCGTCTGCAACCTTATTGTACTCTCCCTTCAAATAGTCTAGTTTGAAATCATATTGATCTATGACTTCAATCCAGCGTTTGAGTGCATCGGAGAGAACTGGTTGAGTCTTGATCCACTTGAAGTTCTGATGGTCAGTTCTCAAGTAGACGGACCTTCCTAACAGATAGTGCCTCCAGTGGACAAGTGCCTTGTAAAGAGCGTAGAGTTCCCTCTCGTAGGTGGACTTTGCCAACTTCTTTGAAGGCATCTTTTTGCTTATGTACTCGATCGGTCTCAACTTCTTCCCTTCCTGCTGAGCCAGCACCGCGCCAATCCCATATTGGCTTGCGTCAGTGGTCACAACGAATGGCCTTTGCGGGTCGGGTACCATGAGAACCTCATGATGCGTGAGAGCATGCTTCAAACGCTTGAAAGTTGCCTCACACTCGTCGATCCAGTCCACGGTGTGTCAAGTCGAGTTAGATCAGTCAAGGGAGATACGATCGTGCTACAATTCTTTACGAAATTGTGGTAATAACCACACATTCCCAAGAATGATCTGACCTCAGTCACTGACTGGGGTCGTGGCCAGTCACGTATGCTGGCCACCTTTGCATCTTCGGGCCTAATCCCATCCGCGGATACTTCATGACCCAAGTATAAGATTCGAGTGGGATCGAACTCGCATTTCTCTATGTTTATCTTCTACTTGTGTTGCCGAAGGAGTGAAAGTATTGTGTCTACATGCTGAGCATGCTCCTCGACAGATCTACTAAAGATAAGTATGTCGTCGAGGTACACGACAACAAACTTATCCAAGTAGTCACGGGAGATCCTATTCATGGCGTGTTGGAATGTACCCGGCGCATTGCAAAGGCCAAAGGGCATCACCACAAACTTATACATACCTGGTCTGAAATGCGGTTTTGTGCTGGTCCTCTGGTCTTATGGCAATCTGATGGTAGCCGGATTTTAAGTCTATCTTTGTATAGTACTTGCACCCCTGCACCCTGTCCAATAGGTCGTCGATGCGTGGTAGAGGCTCTGCATTCTCAACGGTGATGGCATTGAAGCCTCTATAATCAATGCACATCCTTAGTGTTCCCCCTTTCTTTGGAACAAATAAAACTGGTGAGCCATAGGGGGAAGTGCTAGGCCGAATCCAACCCTTTTCTGTGAGCTCTTTCAATTGCCGCCGAAGTTCGTCCAACTCGGCAGGGGCCATCCTATAGATTCTTCCCTTAGGTGTTTTACTACCGGGGATGATCTCTATGGCACGAACAATCTCCCTGTCTACGACTCCTGTAGGCTCCTCGAACAGATCAGGGTACTTTGCGACGATGGTCTCTATCTTTGGGGGTGTGTTAACGGCCTCCCCTTTTGCAGAGATATAGACTAAGTACATTCCTTCCTCTGGGTTCTCTTTATAATAATTATAAAAGGCTGATGCGCATAAGCACCCATAGGAGTCTACTAACCTACTGGCTTTGTATTTGGCCAGCCTCACGGTTCTCCCACTATGCAACTCGTGCTTCAACACCTTCTTGTCCCAGTCAAACTGGGGCTTGGCAACCTCGAGGTAGTACATGCCCAACAACATGTCAAAGGGCAACTTGTCGCTCACCAGGAATGATATCTTATGATTTAACTCTCCTCATGGGTAGGAGAAGGTGCAGACTACATCTTTAACGTAGTCCTCCACCATCATGCGCTCTTTGTTGGCCAAAGTAGATGCTACCGGTCTACTAAGGCGCAGCACCCGGTCCTTTAGGCACAGTCTGTCAACGCAGTCGCGACTTATGAAGTTTCGCGTGGAGCCAATGTCTACGAAGGCGCCGCACTTGCAACCACCCACATCAACTTCCACAACGAAGTGCTCCCCTCTAGGACCTCTACTCAATGCTACCCAGGACTCACGAGGGTCCCTTGCCGACCACTCACCTCGAAGGTCCTCTAAGGCCTCAGGCACATCCAACGTACAGAGTATAGTTGGGTCCGGATGCGTCTGCGGGGTGACTAAGGAGTCAATAGCTTTGGCCATCTCTTGAAACGGGGAGACTTCACCCGCTTCAACGAGTGTAAAAGCAGCTATAACTTCTACTGGCCCTAAGTGTTTCCCGAGCTGGAGCTCGTAGAGGCCCCAAACTGAGAAGAAGAGAACCCACCCTTAGGAGGGATCTTCTGCGAGACCTTCGGGTTCTTGCATTTGAACTGTGTGTGACCATACTCACCACAGTTAATACAAGCACCACGACTCCAACAGTCCCGCCACACATCTTGATCCAGACCTGCTCTAACCGAAGCAGCAATTTTGTTTGGGATGGCGGCCTGCCCCTGACTCCTTTGCTGACCGCCCTTCCCGCGGCCACCTGCCTTAGTCTTAAAAACGGCGGCGAGGTTGCTACCCTCAGCACTCTCCTCGCCGTCAAACTCTGAACCCTCCACAAGATCAGAAACATCATCGATCCCGGTTTGATTCCCATCGGAATCAACCATCATCAATCGACTACCCTTCTTCTTCCACTCTTGTGGAGTCTTCTTCTTTCTCCCATCCGTAGAAGGGGTTTGAGCTCCACCCAACGTAGCCTCTAAGTCTAGGGCCTTCTTGGTGAATGACTCAAATGTGTGATACTCGCATCGAGCCTCGATGACTAATAAGTTCCTAATGTCTGTGGGAAGACATCTCAGGAACATGGTCAGCAAGACCTGTGGATTTTACTCCACTCCCGGGACGACGATCGGGCGCTCTACGACTGTGGTAAGTTCCCGCACTGACTTGAACTTTCAAGTATCAAGTTTCAAGAGCCCGTCAGTGGCTATCTGTGTCTGCTGAGGGTTGTGCCAACGAGCCTCCACTAAATCCATAAAGCTTTCAAGAGTATGGGTCTGCGCCCAATCATGCATGTTCCTGCCGAAGCCCTTTGAAGCAACTAATCCGTTTAGCCAACGGGCTGCTGAACCCTCTAAGTAGGATGCAGCAGTAATCACCTCCTCTTCTACCAATGTCCTCTATGTCCTTACCCACACTGGCACCGTTCTCAACCATATGTCGAGAGCCTCATCCTTCTTATCTCCTGAGAAGGTTGCACGTGGGTTCAGTGAGGTCTTGGGGTACCAAGGATATTGTTGTCCCTGTTGTGAGACACGTGGCGACTGTGGTGTGGCAACAGTCGCTGGACCAAAAGATGAAGAAGCAACAGTCTGAGATAGGGCTACTGTTGATGATACACTTGGTGGTAGTGTAGACTGAGCGGCATAGAGGCCTGTCATCGCTGTGGCAGCGATGGTAAAGCTGCTGGCCGGATCCCTGGCTTGTGCATGGCATTCAGGATCTGGTCCAAGGTGTCCTGGATTGCATCCAGTTTACTGTCCATGTATGCATGCATGGACAGGATGCTCGCCTTCATAATTTTTTCATTGTTGCTGAGGGCCGAGTCATCTAATCCTTCTAACGCAGCCTGGTCTGCCTCCCTGCCCTGTAGTCTAGCACTTCTATCTTTGATCTCTTTTTCTCTTTTAGTAGCCTGCCTAAATTCCTCCTCTAACCTTAAGCGGATCCTCTCTACTTGTTGGAGCTCCATCTGCTCCCGGGTGCGTGGAGGCGGCGAGCTGAACTGCGAGCCCGCCATTTGACTAGTGCCAACCCCTGATGTACAGGAGATTGACTGTGAACTGGTCGGCATGCCTAGCCCTTGACCAGTTGAGTTCGCAGCAGTTGCTGCAGAAGTAGCATTACTCATTGCTACCGCCCAAGCGGTTGTTGCTTCTCTTGCAGCCTCAAGACTACGGGCCCTAGCTTCAGCCCTTAATCTTCTCTCTTCTCCCGGTTGTGGGGTCTGGAACACTCTAGGGATTCTAAGGGATGATAGCCTTGTTAACGTCCTATCGTCATCTGCACCTCCCTCACCCCCTGATCCACTCATAGGATAGGCAGACGTTGTCTGCAATAATCTCCTCGCTGGAACCTACTGCAGCATGCGTCTGACCGGATCTAAAAATAAATAAATAAATGTCCGGCGAGTTACCTAGCCTACTACCTTCTTCCCCCGAATACAACGTACGGTCATTATAGCTGAATTTAGACCGAAAGATACGCCAAATTCAGCGATATTGACCGTACGTTGTATTCGGGGGAAGAAGGTAGTCAAGCGGCATCAACAACATCCACTCAAACTATACACATTGCCTAAGTCTTATTCTGATTGGTCTGCACAAAAGATTGGAGAAGAACTGACTACGACAGATTACAATCCTATCTCTAGTCTGTCTGTTAGGTGTCAGCAGTCGGTCAACCAACTAATTAAAATAAAACTCAGACTAATGTGAGCAGATGTATGCACAATTGATATGTTAGTGATGTACAATTGAGTTCACAATTGGAATCCCCTTCCCCTGTATCCAACGTACCTGTGAGCATCATCAAGCTGCGGTGTCTAAGGTGTGCAACCACGGCCCACCCCTATGCCGAAGAAGTATGCTTATGACCAGGCTGCCCCTTTGTTTATCATCGCGTCCAACGGGCCTTACGTCTGAATGATCTGGCTGATCAGGAGGGATTTAAGGAGAGCCCCCATCTCCTCAGGAATTATTTAACGTCGTAAACAGGACGACGATCACAGCCAGTGAACAGTTCAGACCCCAACCAGAAATGTTTATAGACGGTCTGGGAGCGTCTCAATAGGACTGGTCAGTCCGCACACCCCTTCTATCAGCGCAGCAAAGAGCCTCAATGGACAAAGCAGCCATCGCATGCGTGTACTAGTCCCATTGGGTTGGCATGGTGACCGTGACCCACGTGCTTCGACCAGGGCCCTTCAGAGGCACCGCCCTCTCCTGCCAGATGCGCCACCGGGAAGAATGTCGTCTCTCAAGATAGAGCGCACACGACTCCTTACCAAAGAGAGGACACTCAAGTTGGACTCACTTCCTCACGGTAAGAAGAGATTGAAAGGGTAGATAAGGAATGGGAACAACGTACCTGGAGATAGCTGCCCCCAACCACAGATTTCTCACCAATTGGGCTGATGTGCATTTCCATGACCGGTCAATAGCCTCGGTACCACCCACAATGCAATGTAGTGCCACCTCAGCCAAAATGCCACGTCAGCATAGTCTCATCATCATGTATACATCTGTTGTCGCCACAGCTCCCACGCTGTCGCCACAGCCTTCCCGCGGCTGGCCTCTCTACCTAGGCCCCGCTAATCAACCAGCGGCAAAGTATTCTCACTGCACATGAAGCATCCTCAGCGCACCAAGTTACAATGTCACCGGTGTCAAGTAAGCGGTGATCACAACCAGCTCTGATACCAAATTGCAAGGAATATGAGTGCGAGCGATATACATAAAACCAAGTTGCGAAATCACACAGCTGAGCAAGTAGTAGTATCCCAAGTAGAGAGTACAAATGCACCGAGAAAACCATCCATAAAGAGCAATACAATGAAGTATTAAGCCAATGTCCAAGCCCGTAGGCCACCACCAACACAGTATCCAGAGTCGCTCTCTCTGTCTGGCGCACAGCGCCCAACCTACTCTACCACACTATCCTACTCTACAGCTGGTTCACACAACAGGATCACTTCGGCTCACGAAGACCAATGTACATGACTGTCCACACCATCGGCGACCTCTCTTCATGTACCAGGTACGTATCTCGTCACCCTCAATCAGACCTTGATTACCCCACACGCCTCACTTCCTGAAGACCACCCGATCATCCGCTGTACCCCCTGGCGCCTAGCAGCCCGGCTATGGCCGCCTGCGCCCCGCTGCCCTGCAGCGCCCCTCTTCACCTCTCGCGCCCCGTCAGCGCCCTTGGCAGCAGCGCAGCATCAAGCAAGAGCGCAGCAGCACTTCCGCATTGCCAGCGCTGGCCAGGATGCCTGGCATCGGCTGCCTCACTTCCTTTATGGAAGTGGCAGCCTGCTGCATGCTGCGTGTGGCCTGGCTGGAAGCTTCCAGTAGCTTCCGGTTGGGCCTCAGACCCTGTGCCCAGGCCGAGACCTACAGTTGAGGACCTGGGCCCTTTACAGTTGGGCGCGGCCTGGGTCTGGGCTGTTAGCTGCATCTGCGCAGGGCCCCCAGGTAGGTGCGTCGGCTGTTCTGCTTTTCCAGAGGCCAACGGCCTGCTTCTCAATGTATCGGCCCTGCTTTGTGTGTAGGTGCCCAGGC